CCCCAAAACCCCAAAACCCCAAAACCCCATATCATAAAAATTGCATTGAAAGAGAAATTGCAAAGATAAAGCTATTATAACTTTAAAAATCAAACTTTTTGGTTTGAACTGTTCCATTTTTGGATTTACTGAACACAATCTTACTAGATGGCCACGCCAGCATTATTTCTATCGTTGAAGGAATGTATTTTCTAAATAAATAGTATAAAAATATGTGTATATCAGCAAAATCCTAAAAACTTGCTCCTTATAATGTTCATTTCAACATATGTTCCAAACATATATTTCTTGTAATATAACTAACATACCTTTCAATAATCTTTTGAACTTCTTTAGGGTTTAACCTCATCATTGCAAATACCACCTTCTTCAATTTCCTTCAAAACCCAGATTCAACCAACCCCAGTACAAACTCCACCACATTTGTACACAAATCTGCTCTATTCGCACTTCCACTATCTGAGAATTTCATCGACTCCAAATCCAGATTTACCCCTTCTGGTACTGACTGCAGAAGCCTCCTTCTTCTTGAGGAAGGCAGTGGATCTATATTCATCAGTCAGGAAGGAAGGCTACAACAAAATTTGGGGATTTGGAAGAAGGAGATTTTAACTAAAGTTGGGAATTTTGGGTTTTACCTATTTTGAGTAAGGCAAATTTGAGTTGAGTGAGATGCTTGGTTGTGAGTAGGATTTTTATGAATAATGAGGGAGAGAGCGATCGTTTGGATAAGCAAATTGAAGAGTTGAGTGAGCTTAGTATTTGCAGGATTTTTGAAGTGGAGGAAGACCCATTTAGGAGGTCACATCAAGGGATTGGTCTGTTGTGGGTCTTTTTGGGTTTTAGGAGGTCTGAGATTATTCTCAATTTATCCATGTTCTTTTGTTTCAAATTTATCCATCTAGCGCAGCTATCAAATGAAGGATGCATTTTAGAATAATTAGCTTTCTTCCTATAAAATCAGAAAATTTTCAGGTTCAAAGCTAATTATAAACGTAATGATGCTAAATCTAGACATAAATATGTTGTGTACAAAATGTTTCAACATAATGTTAGCTGTGCTAAAACCCCTGTATTGAGACTTACCGTGAAATTCTGTCTATGTAGTACTTAGCCAGGCGGTTCCCATTGAATGGATTCATGTATTCAAACCTCTCTTCAATATTTTTAACAAGGTTCTTCATCAGATAAGCTTCCTTTTATGTATCTCTTGATCCATTTAAATAATATTTAAAATAAATTTTATTATTAATAATTGGGATACATTATGGGGTTTTGGGGTTTTGGGGTTTTGGGGTTTTGGGG